GACAGCCTTGATTTTACTTTTTGTTCTCAAGTGTCATGAACATATGTGTGATACAGTGTCAGTTGAGGATTATCTGTTGCCAAATGATCCCAATAATGCGTTAACAACTTAACCCAAACTACCTTCAGAGCCATTAGAGATACTCTATGATGCACTTTTCCTTGTGCTTACAAAACTATTCTGTAACTCATCTTCCCTTACAGAAGATAAATATTCCAAGGACAGCATATTCTAAACTTTAATTAATATATGTTTTGTATTAGCTCTGTTGTGTGTTGTGCTTTACCCAGATGGTCCTATGCTTATTTTTCACAGGTAATCGTGAGCTGAATAGCATGTGCATGTCCCTGACTTCATGTGAACACATTCAATTCACACTTTTTATTCCTTTCTTACATCATTCTTCCTGGATCCAACCCCTCCCCATTTTGAAGCTTTCTTATTTTCTCCAGAATGCAAAATCAGGCTCCCACTCCTATCAGCAACTTGTGATAGAATGGGTAACAAAAAAGAACAGGTCAGATACGACACTGAGAAAATTTAAGCCTCATCAGCTGAGCGACTTCTCTGAGTTTCAATGTACATCCTTTTCTGGTTGGTGGTAGTGGGGTGTGTGGGCATTTGTGTAGTTGTAAGAAATAAAGTCCAAGAACTTTTGTTTTGGTTTTTCAGTTTTTATTGATACTTCATTTTTCAAATTACAGTTTCCTTTGAACTAAAATAATACCTGTAGCGATTATTTTGTACCATATTCAACAATTTTCTTGGAAAACTACTGTCTTGAAAGACCTACTTTACTTGTTCAGAAAGTTAGCTAAAGGAAGCAACTTGTTCATCTGGTATGACACAATTGCATGAATGTACAATTAGGTGACAAACTCATCCAGTAGCACTATCACTTTCTATCTGCTGTAAGCCACATTGTCTCCCAGTGGCTGGCTCTCCTGGGAGGTAAGTCCTTCACTAGGAGCTTCACTAGGATGGTTTTCTGCAGGTGGCTCTTCATTACTTGCACTTCCTGAAAAGACAATATAATTAAGATTAAAATAAATGTCATATCTTTGATACAGTTAGCTAGAAGGTATACACTCTGTCAATTACATTTAAGAGCCTTTTTATGTAACTATCAATGTTCAGGACGCTATTTTTCTCAGTTTGCAGTCCATTTGCAAAATGCTTTAGGGTAATGGCAGATCATCTAATAGTAATTAAGTATCATGCTTCCAGCATGTTTAAATAACTGCCACTGGAATGCATAATAGTTTGCACTCCACTTCTGTATTACTTGTTCTCATTTTTGTATTATCTCCTGATACTTACTTACCCATCAGGAAGTGTGAGGAACGTTATTTTTTTGTCTGTCTGTAATACATAAAGCCTCAAGCATCCACCTCTGATAGATCTCTTATTCTTTACCTTCTATGATTTTAGTCTTCCGCCTTATTTCAGTAGAGCAGCTGCCTCAACAACACCAAACTGTGACAAGACAGTGTACTGTTTATTTACTGTGTCCTAGCCAGAGTGCTCTCATTGCTGCACAGATGTCACTCATACTAAAGGAATCTGTTTTCTAGTGAAGATTTCCAAAAAGAAGGTGTGAATAGAATGGGTAAAAGATGAATGCTAACCACAACATTCCTGATTCGGTCTTGATTCAAGTCTGAACTATGAGCATTGTTGCTTTATTTGGATTCTTGTGTGGCTACACATGGTGTCTCAGAGCTAATGGAGAAGGCTTCAGCTTTACTACTGAATTTTCTACAGGTGGGGTCCAGTCTGGCTAACTTGAACATTTAAACATGCCTAAATGTCTAAATTTAGGCACATGAGTTAGGTAGATGAGATTTCACTCTGGAGACACTAAAAGTATCTCCTCCTCCCCAGTTGCAACACTCCTTACAGAGGCACCTATTTTAGGATGATGAGTTCTATTTAGATGGCAGTTAGATGAGTAAGAGATGTAGACTGGATCCAAGTCTACCTGTTTGGGATGCAGTGAGAGACTGCTTATAAAGGAACTCATTGTTAGGCAGTGCAGTCAACCACACTATGCAAGGGGAATTTTAGCATTCAGTCTTACTGTCTGAATATGCATAAACATTCTGGAGCTTCTGCTTTTAACTGAATTTCAAGTTGTTAACATATTCCCTGGAAAAAGCCATCTACAGCTTTTTTCCACAATGGCTGCTCTTCTTGTTTCTCGTTTTGACATTTCCCATGGAAACCATCATGATTCAGAATATAAAGCATGTCTTTGAAATGCAACCATGGGAACCCAGTTTACTAAATCCAAACCTTTTCAAGCACCATCACTTTCATAATTCCCCAGGTAAACTGCCCCCCAAAATGCCAACTTTACAAACTGGTTTTAAAAAAAAAAAAAAATCAACAGATTTATAGATCATCTGCAATGAAACAGATTCAAACTTTCCTCTATAATTTTTAAAGGCACTGCCTGTAAATACCATGAAGAATCATTGCATTTATGAAATTACTTTTGGTAAACTATCTTCAATTACAACAACATATATTTCAATTATATGCCAGGAACAAATGATACATTCTGTCATTAAATATTGCAGCCTGATCACAAAATGAAACACCTACTTCAACTTGGAGAAAATTTTACTAAATTGAAAGAAAATTACAGGTAACAGTTAAGCTGGATATATACATGACAGCTTCTAGATCCAGCAGTGAATATCCTAAAAGACATGTAACTTCAGCAGTACATGAGATTCTAAATATGAGAAGCTTTATGCCAGAAACTGCAATTTATGAGTTTAGGAGTAACTCAGTTTTCTGCTGGACTGAGACCTAAGGCCTAAGATATTGAGCTTTGAGCCTTTATTTATCCCTAATTTGATATTTCTAAGTCAAGACATTTCACAAGCAGCAAACAAAGGATCAAGAAAAAAAAATTGAAAAGTCAGTTGCAGTTAGATTTTACGATCACCTCACACCACGTGTGCCTCTTGCTGCCACACTTGTAAACTCCATCTACTTGGCATGAGGACACAAATTGCAACCCACAACAACTGAGACTCAGCAGTCAGAATGCACAGTGTATCATGCAATCCAAAAACACTGTCATGAAGATTTATAATTATTGAAAGGCAGGAAACTGCTCTTTTTTATGACAAGTATATGTTAGATTTGATCTCACAGTAGCTGAACGATAAATAGTTCCCCTTCAGGATGGAGTGCAAGGTACATCATCCAAAAGTGGTTTGCAGCATTGGTCTCTCAAATCTCTCATCCAACATCACAGCAGGATCCCATATGACAGCCTGGCAGCACTGCAGCAGTCAGATAACAGAGGTGCAGTGCTTCAGCTCTGAAGGGAGGTACAGCAAGCTACTGCTGGTGAAAGGCACCAACCAAGCAGCAAAATGATGCTTAGCGACTAAAAAAAAAAAAGATTTTGGTTCTCTTGACTGAACACATTCTACAGTCTCAGTTGTCCACTCCTGCAGAATATAATTTTTGGGTGCAATGCAAGTGATGAACTTGTACTGATGGACTGACACTGCTTTGGCATTAATTTTGGAACAACCTGCTCTCAAAAAGAAATTGAGAGTTTTCAGACATCAGCATCTGAAGTTCATACAGTCCTTCTAGCTGAACTGATGAACATTATGAATCTTTTTCTCACAAGGAGATGGGCTTAGGTTGTTATCAAGAGATCCACAGCATAAGTCTCTGTAAATTACCATCCCATGCTGAAGTTTGCAGCAGAAATGGGTTTAATGTGATGCCTGTTTAAGTAGAAGTTTCAGTATTTCACAGTAAGATAAGATTAAAGGTGACTACTGAAGCAAGATGACAAGCCAACGTTGCTGTGAGATGAAATTTAGTAGAAATCAACTATGTAGCTGCATTACCATGGTGCTGAGGACAAGCAAATACTGGCTTGAAGAGCAGGCAGGGTATACTCACTTCTGCTTGCAGAATAACATGTTGACATGTACTTTTTAAACCTTTTCCTTGACAATCTATACTCCATAAATCTCACACCCTGCAGCTTGTTTTCAAAAATTTGACTCATCTTTGTGAACTCTTTCAGTGTGTTTTTCTGTCCCTCTCTCAATTTTTATATTTAACATTCAAGTATTTGGTTTTGGCTGCTGACAAGGACAGGATATTGAGGCAGACAGAACATTGCACTGATCCATACACGAATGTTATTGTGTTCTTATGCCCGTTTGGATGGTTTCAAACCTTCTCCATCTCAAAAACAATCTGTCCTGGTAGATTTTTTTCCCACCTTTTTGGGAAATTTTCTGTGACTGCTGGGAAAAGCCTCTGTCCGTGGTGCTTGGTCAAAAGTCATTCTGTCAGAGCTGTGACTTCTACTCCATCCGGCATTACGCAGCCATAATGCCGCAATATGAAGTCCCAAAAGATCTAGAAGCTATAACCAAGACTGTTTAAACATCAGCATCAAGCTTTGCAAATTAAGGATATCTTGACCAGCAGAAAGCCATCAGAGAGATCAAAATATACCCTCTGAGCTTGAAAGACATTGAAGAATACCAGGAAACTGATGAAAAGGTCTACAGAAAAATCTTGAGTCCACTTTTGAAGAAAGACTATGAGTAATGATTCAGGCTGTATCTTGAAGAAGAGCACTGATGCTTTGTGTTTTTATCAGAACCATCAACTTGATGGTTCTCAGACATTATAGTTTTGTCACTCAACCAGTCTCAGTCCACTTGGGATATTCTGTCAGACATAGATAGCCTAGATAGCTTGGTGTCTCAGAGAGCATATTTTGTTCCCAGAAGTGCAACTGCTCCCCAAAGCAGAGAGGGCTTGGACTGTGTTCACTGTGAAGATGAGTTCTTAGGACATAAAAAAACACTTGCAAGCTTGCAGACCTCCAAGAATAATTCAAAACATCTCCACCTGACAAAAAGGGATGGTTTTGCTTGCTTTTCTTGAGGCTATTTGAATTTATTTACAAGATACACAGTTATGAAGAGGAATTTATTTAACAGAATAAATTGAGTGTTCAGGACAGAACAGCAGATTGAAATCACATCAGAGGTGGTCTTACTGTCCTAAGCAGTAAGAAAAAATTGAAGGAATCTCTCAGGTGCATAGAAATTTATGGAGACAAAGGAGCAATACAAAGGGCAGAACCAGGACAACTATTAAAAAAAACCCCAAAAAACCCCAAAACTTACCTAGTGTGAAGTCAAAGAAGGACCCATAATGAGATATATCTAAAGCCTCAATTACAACTTTACAGTGGATAGAATTATTGTGCTCCTCCTAAGTCATATGAATCTCAATATTCTCATGTTAGGTGCTTCCAATAGACAAAAGAGGTCCATATACACAGTCATTCAGTTTACTCAAAGTCTATATTATGAATGCAAATAGAGAGCAAACTATTAGAAGATAGAGCTTCATCATATCTTCTATAATCACTGCAGGAAGTTTTCTCTATCTGTAATTCCAGGACAGTGAAACTTTTTTCCACACTACCTGCTATAAAATAAATATGTTTCGTGTTGCATCCTTTCAGTCTCAGGAGAGTCTTAACTATATACCCTTGACAATGCAAGATGTTTAGTCTATGAAAAGTATTTTTACACACTGACATAACAGGTCAGAGGAAAGCATTAAGGAGAGAATTTAGGTTTTTTTTAATGACAGGAAACACTTTGCTCACCTGTGGCTGCTTTCAATCTTCTGATATAATCAGACCAAAAGGAACAGTCTGCTTTCTTCAATCCTTTCAGAGTTGGCAAGGAAACAGTGAACTCTTTGTAGTTATCACCATCATCACTTGGCAGATACATAGGCCAGGGGGGCATCACCCCCAACATTCTTCTTGAGAAACTGTGAGGGTAGTTTGGATTTCTAAGGGAATGGGAGAAATGATCATTAGAAAACAATGGCATGAGCAACAGTAAAATGCAGGAGATCGGCTAGGTCAAGGAAATGTGTATCTACTCCCTCTGACCAGCAGCATTCAAATTCAGTACAGACTGGTGAATCATTCACGATGTCTCACCTAACAGTAGTTTGTTAGTCTGGTTCACTTCTGTGATGGATGCACTCAACCCCCTTAACCAAACCAGCAGCAATTTGGTACAGGCTCCAAAGAAGGTAAAGGCCTGAGCCATACTGAGCCAAGAACTCCTCTAGGAAACCCACAAAGGAGCAGAGTGACACAGTGAACTCAAATAAGTTGCAGGTACAAGGATTCTTGTGCGTACCTCTCATCGTATGCAATGTGACCGTGAACCAACCACTTTATCCCATAAATATGACAGTCTAAGGGAGCTTTCTTTGAGTTCTCCCTGCTAGGCAGTGTGGCTGCATAGCGATGATCTCCCCTTCTGCTCCTCAAAGCAACAAGATCTTTTACCAACAACAGATTGCTGGATGAGCCCAATTGGAATTCTCCCTGGATGACAACTGGCCTGCACACCAGGTAACTTTCCCCTTTATCAGGGATGCCTTTCAGTGTTAAGAGATATTAGCTGTTTAACTTATATAAGTAAGTTTTACATAGAATGAATCACTTAGAGTTATAATATTGCATAATTTAGTATGCTGTTTGCTTAGCTTTACTTAGGATAAGTAGCTAGATTTGCTGAAGCCTTAGGCTGCAAGCTGTAAATTTCCATTTAAGTTACTGATCATGTAACTACTTAGTTGAAACAGGGCCTCCAGAGCCAATGTAAATAAGATACGGAGGCTTCTAGGCTACAATCGTCAACAACAACTACAACTAGACAAGATAATGGCCTGTCTGAAGACAGTGAAGGGATCCAATGAGGAACAAGAAGACCCCAGACCCAAATATTATTACTGGACTGAACTGTCACGTGAGGGGTGGGTGAATAGTCTGTAAGGGTATAACTGCCAAGGGATTTCTTTGGGATGGGGGCACTCTGCTGAGACATGAGCTGACCATGCTGCTGTTAAATTATTTGTTTTTGAATAAATAAAATTTAACTCTGTTAAATTATTTATTTTTATAAAAAACAGTGCCCAAGAGACTGCTTTGGGAAACCAAGGGTTCAAATGAACACTGGATGCCCAGACAGAAGGTAAGCGTACTGGAAATAAGCATGATGAAACTTTGAAATCTTAACTAAATGATATAAAGAATCAGATATGCACATATAATCCTTTAGCTCTAAACACCTACAATCCCTTAGCCATAAACTGTTGACAAAGTCTGGGACTAGGAGTGAATCTGCACCTAGACTCCTCTCTGAGGAGTTTAGAAAGCAAGGGGGTCCATCCTGAAACTCGTGACTCAAAGGGAAGGTCTCCCTTACTCTTCGTATCTCTTAGACATAAACCATTGACTAAGCCTGGGACTAAGTTTGGATACAGTTTCACCTGGATTCCTCTCTGACAGTGAGTTTAAACAGCAAGGGGGTCCATTCTGAACCTCATGACTTAACAGAAGGGTCTCCCTTTACCTTTCTGCACTGTCAGTGCCTTTGTGAATCATTCTAAATTGATTCTAACACAATTGTCCCTCTGTATGCTTCCTCCATGAAGTAAGCAATAGAGTGAACCTTGCCATCAAACTCTGTTAAGTTGTGCTTTTATCCAAACACTGACCCATGATAACTTCCTCAGGAACAGGTACGAAGAACCTGTATAGACACAGGCTTATGAACACCATCAACAGCCCTTAGTCTCAAAGAAACCTAAAGTACTCTAAAAAGCACATAAAGTCACAGTTCCCACACTAGCTTTCCAGAGATACTCCTCATTCTTGAGCATGCCCACAGCATAGCCAATCTGAAGGTTATTTTCAGAGTAGTTGGTAAAGGGTGCAACTGTGTCTTCATGTGCTTTCCCCTTTCTTCTGGGAATAAGGGAACTCTTAGCAAAGACACTTCAGAACTAGGATCCTAGAACGAAGCTCTGGAAACAACACAAAGGCCTTTGTAGCCTCCATATATTTAAGTAGAATTTGCAGTGGCTCCATGGAGATAAAATTCCTATTACTTTTAGCTAAGTGCCATACTACAAACCTTTGGTCTCTGCTTGACAACTTCACAACATGACTTTCCCACAGTGTTGACCAAAGCCTCCTCTGTAGGATTACAAATTGCTAGAGGAAACGGAGGCTACTTGAGTGAAGATAGGATCTGGACTATGTTCCCTCTTCTCCTGCCTCCTCCTCAATCATAGCTATTCTTAATGTCACATACTTACCCAGAGTTTACAAAATTGGAGATATACTGCATAATTTGCATGGAAAGGCTCTTTTCTTCCAGAGTAAATTGTCCTTCATACTTTGGGTAGAATGGCAGTCCAAATACATACTGAACATCCAGCAAGAGCTCCTGACCTGAACTAAAAAATATTTATATGAAGAAAATTAAAACCATCATTTATTTATTTGGGAAAGAAAGGTAGCTAATTCAGAGAAAAAAAAAAAAAGTTTTTAATAATTAATGACCATTAATTAGAGTGTGGTGAGCTGTGGGGTTTCTTCAAATCAGAACATAAAAGAAGAGCAAGCAATAACAAGGAGAATTTACCATTAAGTTAATGTAGGGTCTCTAACATTTGTTACATGGGGAAATTGTGGAAGACAGCAGGGCACATTTTCTAAATTAACTGGGCATATAAGAGAAAGTGATAGAGGGAGAAAGCCACTTGGCTATTCCTTAAATGCCTCTTAAGTTTTGTACAGATTTTCACTAAAATTAAATTCAGAAAGTAGAAGCAAGTGGTGACATGAAATCTGGCAGCCATGATGGAAGGTTAATTATGGTTTATTTCACAGACTTGGAATAAAATCCTGGCCCTTCTTAACAGCAATTGGAGTTTTTCCATTCACTTCATTGGGGCCAGGATTCTGCCCCAAATCTTTGGATAAGGAAAGATGTAATAGGAGATGTTTATGAAGATTTCTCTTAGACATAGTTTTAATCTATTTTTTTCTGCTGGCTGGGGGGTTTTGGTTCATACAGTCTGTTCTCCCCAAGCTTTATATGTCAGTCAAGTCAAAAAAGCTTGAGATAATCACCTGGATGAGATTTAAGCAAGAACAATTGTTGTTTACTTCCATGCAATAATTAACACATATAATAAGGAACATTTCAACAATTCAGAGACAAGAGTGGCAGGGCAAGACAATAACACTTGTAGGACCTAGTAGCAAAGGTTAAACAACTCAGTATCTTAAAGTCCTGCAGAAAAAACAGTGGCCAATGTCTACTAATAAAATTATAACTAAACTATGCTCAACACATAGCTTTGAACCATAGCTCAGAAGGAAATGTTTCTGGTATGGTCAAATTGGATTTTCTGTATCCCACATTTAGATAAAGGTCTTATTGACTTTGTTAAATGCTACATGAAGGCAGACAGCATCAGGGGACCTGGAAGAAGGAACAGATGTCTGTGAGGCAGGAATAAACAAATCCTAGATCCACTCATCAAGGTTTCATCTGCAGTGTCTGCAGAGGTTGTGGTCAAAAGGTGGCACAACTGAAACTGTTTTATATTTGGACGTGAAATGCAGTAGCATTGATATGACCCTGATACTGCCTCTAATGGAACAAGGCTCTTAGTTCAAACCATTAGGGGAAGGTGGACTGAAAGCAGGATGACTCCTTTACATTTTATGAGTGGTGGCACCAAAGCCTCTATTTTGAAAAACAAACACACAACCCTTCAAATGAAATACATCTTTGGTTGTATTTTGGTTAGTCTTATCATAATACCTCAGTAATACTTTGCATCTGGAAAGTGAATTATTCACAGATTATTCACCAAAAAATATGTAGAACTGAAACAAGATTAAAGCATATTTTTCTTCCCCAAATGTTTATAGAAGGATTAAGCAAGATCATAGTTTAATAATTTTGCTTTAAAAATAATTTGCTTGGCCCAGTATATTACAGCAACGTTTAGTGTCAGTATTGCAGCATAGGTACTATACACTTAAAGGAGCTATTTTCTTTTCAATGAAGAGTTACTTTTGAATAGAATAGAGGACATGAAATTAGTTGAGGTGCAATGAAGGGACAAATGTACCCATTCAGGGAAGACATAGCAGAGATGAACTTAGCTCTAAATCTAAAATGAGTGAGCTGGGACTAAGGGTTTCCCCCCAAACAAGACTGTGCTCTCAGCCCTCATGAGGTTAGAGGTGAAAACTGTTAAGCAGCCCACACTAAAATTCATCAAACCCCTAAACAGAGAACTTATTAGGACTGGAATTATTTGTACAACTGTAATGAGTTTGGTATGGACATAAAGTGGTACAAAATTCTACAATTTCATGGGCTGCTTTCAATATTTCTGGTTGGTGGTGCCACATCCTGGCCAGTGACAATCAGTAGTAAGAGGATGAGAAATAAAACAGAAGGTTAAGAGGGGAAAGGGGAACATATTTATATGCACAGAACAGCAGTAAAGACAACTGTGAAACATCCAGATGGGAGCTAGATGGAAAATATTGGAGGAACATTTCTGCCTTTTCCCTCAAACACTGATCATCATCCACTATTGCCAGAGGGGAGTGAAAAATGGCCCGTAATACCCAAACAAGGATTTTGGAGGCTTGTAATAGCTCTGAGCATAGTCAAAGTAGCACCAGGTAGTAACACTGTTTTCACTAGAAGAAAAGTGGAGTGAGAGAAAGAGAGGAATGACAGATAAGCATGTAGAGCTTTGCTGTTGTACACTGCTAGCTCTGCAGGGAGGTTTTTATTTCCTGAGCTACTCAAAACTCCACTCCTGAAATCTCAGGGTGCCATAGGGGTGGCTCAACAGCATCAACTCTAAATGGGGAAATGCAGAGCCCAGCAACTGGCGGACTTCAAAGGACAGTTTGATAAAAGGGAGGACTGCAGAAAGAATGGAAAAAGGAGTTTTTTAAGTGTTTTTAAGGAGGACAAACTAATAGCAACTAACTTCCCCTACAGAAGTCCCTTTTCAAGGAACAGATCTTTTGTTTTACTAACAGTGGTGAATGTAGTTACACATAAGGATGAAATCTTGACTTTGATGACTTCACAGGACAAGTTCTTCATGCAAAAGTATCACTTCAGATCTTCTGTGTATGTTTTTTTTTTTAAGATGTCAAATTTTTAGAAACAGATTCACAGCTCTTCTTATGTGACAGCATAATAGACTGGTAAATTGAGCCATGGGGAAGCTAGGAGCCAGACCCTACCACTTTGTTCACAGTAAAGTCAGTTCCCCTTGGAGAATTATTACGTCACTTCAGAAGGAGGCAGTATTGGAGTTCAGTTATACAGTTCACAGAAAAACAGTAAAATCAGAAAATTTGTGACATTCATAGCCAACAATTTAACAGCAGCCCCTGAAATAGCACTTGCTGGGAATATTCATTACACAGTGCTGACCCATTTAATTGGGAAGGTATTGGTTCTGAGAAAATTTTCCTTAAGCCTGAGATGGAGTTTCCATTTAAATGTTTCCAAGTAAGAAAGAGGGAAAGGGATTTGTTAGCCATCAGATACTCCACTGCTCTCTCTACAGAACTGTGGCTACTTTCTCATACAAACAACAGCTTCAACAGAGGGTCAGAATTTAGAACAAAAATACCCAGAATGCGGTTGATTTGGTTCAAATTCTTGTTCCAAATCAAACAGAGCATAGACATAAATCCAGATTTCCAACAGTTGAAGTGAATATCTTAGCAAAAAGCTTTCAGAATAATAAAAAAAAAAAAATCCAAAACAGAACACCCCCAAACAACAATAACCTCAACACAGAAATCCTCAAAAATTTTGTTTACAGAATGGAATTGACGTTAATGGCTATTCATAATTATGGTTTTCACAATAGAAGAATATGATATGGCAGAGCACCAATGCTATTCTACATTTGAACTGAATGCACAACTTAGAGTTGGGGCTGCAGAGAACTCACACTGCGATCCATTGTAAATTAGGACATATATCTAATTTTGAACTGTGTCCTTGTTCTAGATTTGGCTAACTCTTTCATACTGTAAACTCATTTTGATGATTAATGACTGACTATAGCCTAACAGTTTTTATTTTTTTGTCTTTAATTTAAAAATATTCCCTACCCTCCTAATGCAACAATTTCAACTAATCTCAAAGCATTTTGAGTCACAGCTTCTATTCTTAGCTGGCTTGATTAAGTTTTTGGTTCTTTTTTAAAAGGCCACATACAGATAGAAGCCAATGTAAATTAACTCAAAATTCAAATTACATACTATACCATACCAAAATACCAAACTTCCCACTCTTATCCAATCATTTAAATTTTAAAATATCAAGATAAACATAACTCTACCTAGAGTTCAGCCAGAGTTACCAGTAAACTGCCCAGGATAAAAAAAGCAAGTTGTAGAAGAATTGGTTTGTCACTAGTGAACATATTAAAGAGATTTATTTATCATCATTTTTAGATGTATTGACTAATAATAATCGACACTGTAGTCCTCACAGAGCAGAGATAACTTTTAACAGAATAATTATCTAATATATATGGTTAAGAACAAGAAACTCATGTGTAGCCATAAGTTTCCATTTCTTTTTGTGCTTTTTTTTTTTTTTACTAATAACTAGACAAGAGAACCACTCAAATAGAAATTTAAACCTACTGAAGAACCAAACACCATATCTTAAATAGTATATGGGAGGAATTTAATTGATATTTTCACCCCAAAATTTATTCTATCTTCACTTATGCAAACAATTTTTGCCAATTTTCTTCATACTCCTTTTTATCCAATTCTATATACTCAACCTACTGTCCATTTTATGACACAAGCACCCCCTTTTTCACAAGGGATACTGTTTTGGCTTTCTGGGTTTTTTGTTGTTTTGGGGGTTTTTTGTTGGTACTGGGTTTTTTTTTTAATTAATGATAAGTTTGGAACAAATATAGTCTAGCAGTCATATTTCTCAAGCTCCAGCCTGAAAAATCTTGACCCTCAAATGATCTTCATTTTTCCACAGCTTTGACTAGAGATGTTGGCCAAAAATCCTATTACCTTATGTGATATGAAGTCAGGCTACATAGCCCAGTAAGCTAGACTAATAAAAACCTAAGCAGATAACTTCAGAGGCTTAAGTTTCCAGCCCCATCACATTGGTGACAGTAGCATCATTAGTCATAAATGGTCTTCTGGGCAACATTTTCCTTCTTCAATGCCTACACAAAACTTTTAGTTCAGCTACAGCATTGCAACCCAGCGTCTTCAAAAAATGAAACAGGGAGATCTGTTCATTTTGTTTCAACTACAATGATTGTCTGAGAAAAGTAGAAGAAATATTGTACTCAAAGTAATGTTATTCACTAAAGTTAGCAGATACTGGTGATCTGCAACAGATTTCTCAGATAAGAAAACCATGAATCCTTTAAATGCAAACTTTTATGAACTTAGCTGTTCATTGTAACAATTCTGTGAAAGGGTGCATGTTAGAGATGGGATCGTGGCTTTCAGTTCCCAGTCTCATCTTAAAGACCCTGTTCAGTATCCCATTAGCAAGGGTAAGCCTATTACTAGGAAAACAAACCAAAACACCTATCCACTGTCACTTGTCTCTGGTCATTTACATCTTGATTGGATTGAACAGAGTTGGTGATAAATCTCCCACTGCTTTGAGTCAACATAAGATTTCATAACAACTAATGTCCCTGGAGGAGAGGATATGATTTTTATATAAAATGCCACTGCCTGCATGTTCTTGTGGTCCTGTTCTGTGTTTATTTTCAATAAATGGATTTTAAAATAATTTTTGCAAGAAGTATTGAAAATACTAAATGTGGTTGTTTGCACACATCTTTATTTCCTTCATATTAATACCAGCAGATTTGCAGAGTGGAATCAAATATCCTAAGCTGTTAACAGGCACCATCATATCCATGTCATGGGAGAGGAGCAGCCTACCAACACTGCACTTTACCTGAAATGAAATGACATTTTTGATGGTAAACAAAAATAATTTACCAAAAAAAAAATATATATAGAACCACACATCTTAGAAAAGGAAATGGCACATGATTGCAGGGAGAAAAAATAATCAAAGGATAGCTGGATATTTATAGAAATTTAATGAGCCACATTTAATGTAAGGCCTGGTGTGACCTCCGCAGTTCTAGGGATGCATTTGGCTCATTGTGTCTCCTCATATTACAAAGTCCTGCCAAACAAATGGGGGAACACATGTGAAAAACAGATGAACATTTTTCTTCACTTCTTCTTTTCAGGAAAATTAGGACATATGGAAAAAGCTCAACTCCTAACGGGATTAAACTGCCAAGTTTATCCACCTTTGTACCAAAGACGCCCTATAGACACATGTGACTTGCAATAGTATCCTGGAGTTTGCTGTGTCTTTTCCTCTTGGATTACTCCCAGTACACGCAATGTTCTACTTTACATTATAGCTGTGCCAATTGAAGAAAATAAAACTGAAGTAGCAGATAATAAATTCAAGAACCTGAAATCTCACATTAACTGAAAAAAAAAAAAAAAAAAAAAAGAAGATCTTTATGCAGGAAGAAAACACTTTTTTTCATCCTGTCAGAACTCCTAACTAGCACAGATTATAGAATTTTGTCAGGGAATTACTGTATTAAAGAACCTAGTAATAGCCATGTTGACACTTGGATGCATCTTTGGGGGACAGAAATTCATCCATTTGTTCAGTATGCCTACTCCCGAGCTGAATGAATGAATGGATTTCCTTAAAAAGGTGATGTGTCCACCCGAAGCTCCAGAGCACCAGAGAAGGTCTCTAGATATATAGACTTTGTGCTTATATTCTAGATCACATTTCATGGGAACAACCTTTCCCAGTGCAGCACATGCAGTTTCAAAAATGGATTTATACTTTTCTGAGTCTTTCGCTGAATTTTGGTTAACTTAAAGCTGATTTCTGCTTTTTCTGAGCTTGGTACTTTGCCTTTGCATATTTATGGCTAATTTCCAAGATCCAAAAAATCTACCGAATGATAAAGGCCATAACCACTCCATTGGAAGAAGACACCAATTGTCCATACTTCAAGCCTTTAGCAACACAGAAACTGTCTAAGACTTGAGAATGGTGTGATGTGGTTGAATCAGTGGGAGAGCATTTTCATAGCTGCAGCTGGCATAACATAATAGATAAAGCAAGAGAGATGAGAGGCAATTCCAACAGAAAGAGCAAAACAACATCTTTTAGGACATGAGAGGGAGTACAGCTTTATAGAGAAAAATTACAAGCTGTTGTTGCAGCACAAGTACATAGCTACCTAAGGTGACTGTGGTGCCTGCCCAGCTATGGAGGCAACGTGCATCTTATTGTTCTTGTTACCTCTCCGGTGTCTTACCTGCCCTCTATGTTTAGATGAGTTTGTCTGAAGCCCAGTGACATAACTTTCTCTCTGCTTCCACAGCACCCAGTTCACACTGTGGCCCTCCAATCTATGGGATGTTGGTACTCATGGACTAACAGCTACAGTCAGGAGGAGAGCCTCAAGTGGTGGACAGATTAAAGGACAGGGATATGATTATTATAAAATCAAAAGAGTAGAAAAATCTCCTTTAGTTAAAGGGATATTAAGAACAGATATAATTAGCACAGCATTTATAATAAACAGAAAACTTAAACTTCACATGGTTGAATGGGCACATACACAGACATTTTTTTTTTTTTTAATCAGTCAGGAGTTCTTGCCTCCAGTTAGAGGAATTATAAAAAGTGTCACCAAAATCCAGCCAACTATGTGAGCATTGGCACAGAACAGTCTTATAACAACTCACACCAACGCGAATAAGAGTGCATAGTCAGAAGGTAAAGACTGCCCCAACTAAAATGACTCAAAACAGTCAGCAGCCCATTAATCTTGGATGAATCTGTGCACAACAGTTAACAAAAGTTTTTGTGACAATTATTATGGTAATGTTAATGACTATAAGATAGAGCCTCATTAAGTCTCAGTTTAGACCCCTCCAATTACAATGATGATGCTTTGTCATCCTGCTGCAGCTGATGATTTGGCCTTCTCAGTGAGCAGAGCACTGATTTTTATCCACCATCTTTAAGACAGCACATTTGGCATCACAGTGTGATTTGGAAACTATGCTGCTGTGGCAAGCAGTGCTACTTCACACAAAAATCACCTAGAAACCTCTTGAAGGGTTAATGAGGCAAATCTTTGTACAGTTCATACTATTATCTTTGTCAAAACATACTTCTCCTATCACATATTTCTTTACTGTAACTAAAGCTATACTCCAGCCCTCCCCACTAATCCTAGGCAATGCTGAGCAATCACATTCCTCCTGCATTGTTTAGAATAAATGTTTACTCCAAGGCCTAAGTGTTCCCAAAAAGAGAGTGAGAAAATGGCATCTGGGTTATGTATGTATTTTCACTACAGATCATTAATGCGGGAGTTGGCTCTGTGTCCCGCTCCTTATTCAAATAGCAACTGCAGACTAAAGCAAACGTGATGTTACGCCAAGCTGGGAAGAATGCTACCATGTGGAAGGAGATATTATTTTGCTCTCTGCAAGATCCATTCATCTATATGAAAATTGTCAGTTCATGGTTTTATGTGATGTTCCACGTATGTCACAGACATCAGTTTAGCATGGCCTTTTTAATCCTGTCCCTGTATCTTTGCATGCTTGAATGCAGGTATGTGCATACATTTTAGAAACACACAGTTGTGTGACAAACTTTTGCTAATTGACTTGCATTGGTAAAAATTTCTTCCCTGTTTAATAACTTTTTGACTACTTTGCATCATTGCAGTAGGGTCTGTCTTTACTGGCTGACTTCTCCCTCCTTCTTGTTTATCTTGCCATGAGTTATTAAGGGACTGCTCCATGTGAAACAAGAGGAAATACCAGTAATTTTTCATCTCTGCATTTTAACTCTCTGTTCCGTTACACATTTTGGGAGACACACATAAAGTAGGAGAGAGGTGAGAGAGTAGAAATTGGAGAATATGTTACTGTATTTTGCCTTATCTTAATTAGTGAATGGCCATTTCCCCAGCCAGAATATTTTATCTAAGAGTTAACTAACAATAGTTTTCCACTGTTGTAGTAATCTGAACACAATATTATATTAATGTACTCTTTCTAATACTCCTGTGAGGTAGCTATTACAGATAATATATAATTGTATTATCATCACCATCATCTTTCTAATATAGATAACAAACACAAAGAGGGAAAGGTCCATATCCTGTGTAAACTGAGATCTTAGGAAGAAAGACCAAATATCAAAAAAACCTTATTTTATCGCCTATGTTACCCTATGGACATAATATTATAGAAGTTTCAATTTTTACAAGTGAAGGTCTGTATCTCAGCAAACACAGATGTGATTCAATATCTAACAGGCTGAGAAAATTTTTCTGTCAAATGTCTATGAGTTGATTGGGAATGAGGTGTTCCTCCAGCTACAATGCACTGAGGGCGATCTGATCCAGTATGTGTACTCACAGAATATCCTCTACATGCCTACTATGAGAAAAACATACGCTTGGCTATTGCATTAATTAATAAAAAGAAATGGCTGTATAAAGGTTCTTCTATTCAGGAACTGAATAGCTAAAATGTTTGCTTATTCAAGTCTCACTTCTGCTGAGCAAGTTCAAACCCACACATCCTACCTTCCAGTCTAAGCTGTAGGTTACTCAGTAGAGTATCTGCCTGTGTTCCTTCTCCTAAGAAGAGTCATAATTTTCAAAGAAGAACTTGAAAACTGGCAGGACTCATTAATCCAGTGGTTAGGGAAGTCCTTTTGGAGTTGGTGACATGGTTGCCAGATCTTTCCCCAAAATTAGTTTATATATTCTACTTGAAGGCTGTTTCATGTACCTTATTGGATTTAATCTGGTAGGGCAAATCACTGATTATATTCCCAAACATTTCATTTTGCTGTTTTCAGATTACTGATGGTTTCTCACAGTTTTTAGTAGTTAGGGCCACTCTCCTATGTGAAACTCCTACCCTCAACAGCGTCACTTCATTGACATACAGTGAGGCTGCTGGATGGCCTGCAATGCACATATAGTATTGGGGGGCGGCGGGGGGGGTGTGCGGGGAGGGTGCGGAATGCTGTAGGGAGGGTGAGGGAGAGAGGTCACATGGCAGAACTAGGATGAAGAATAAGGAAGGAAGGATTCGTTTAGGAATGAATGACAATGTTTAAACAAAAAACTCACAGTGTATTCAGCAAAGAACTTAGTGTGGGGTCCTTTGGGAAAACAAGGGTATCACTTCATAAACAGTCACATCGTAGTGTCAAAGGAGGCCCTTCAGTACACAGGCAAGCTGAATTCTGCAATTTCTGTTTAAGTGCTTGCCTTTGTAACCTAAACATTTATTTTAATGGTACTTAAGCATAAATAAAGTGGAAAGGAGTAACAATGTATACGCAGCATACTGGTTTGGGCCCACTTCTCCCTGCCTCATGTTCCCACAAGTTTCAGACAGCACACTGGTTTTGTTTGTTCTTTTAAAGAGGATTATGAAAAAGTAAAAATAAGGTTTTCACTAAAATTTAAAGTAATCATCTTAGAAGACAACTGACAACATAAATGTTATTAATGTTGTGTAGCTGAGTGCTATGTAAACTATTACTGCACTGAGGAGTGTGAGAAGAGCTAAATAACATGAGCACAAGAGAAAACTTAAATGGGGCTAGATAGAAGAGGAAATTCTCACCAATTCAAAATCACTGCCTCAAAGCCAGTGACTCTAAGCTGTGTAAGTACTATTTCATCTACTTTCAAAAAAGATCTTATCATAGATGACTGGGTCACTATCACTCTCCAAAGCAAGAAAAAACTTGCCAGCTAATTTGAGAACACATCTTTTCTTTCTGTGTGGCTGGATTTTTGGCATACCATATCTCAGTCCTGTTTGGAGCCTTGTAAAAGTCACTTATCTGAGCCTATTGGTAGCCAAATGGAACACTGTGAACATTCCCGCTGGAGCTGCCAGCGCAATAACAGCTCCCTGAGGATTAACTTCTTCTCAGCTAAAAAGAAAGTGAGTCTGTGTTACTGCAGCATAATGGCCTTCATCTGTAACCTAGATCTTGGCTGGTTTCTTTCGAATGCTTTTTCACTGCTCTATCAGGAACGGAAAAAAACCCACGTAGTTCGCAGGGAACGTCAGAGTATCAAATGGTGTCAGTAGGAACCTGCTGTTCCTCCCTTGAGCCCTTTTGGAGAAAGCCTGAGAAAAAGGAAAGGATCTCAAAAACCTTTCTTGGAGAGAGGTATGGGGCAGAACAGGGAGCAGGGGACAAGCACTGTTCCCTCATAAGGAAACAGCCAGAAGATAAGCATCCTGGTGTGCTTTGCTGTCCTTACGTGTGGTTCTAGGGGACAAGAGGGGCTACAGTCACTGCAATTGTGATCAGCCTTTGAAGGAAAGGGACAAGGAGCCACTATAGTATGTCACATAGCAGCCCAAAGTGCTGACCACTGCCTACCAACCTCAGTTTCTCATCCTGACTTCTGGGAGGGGCTAGGTCTAAGATAAAACCAGGGAAGGTCACCTTAATAGACTCTGACTATCAGCCTGTCCTATGCCCAAGGAAACAAGGCATTTGCATCTCCCATGGGCATGTAGATCTTTTTGTCTAAAATATGATCCAT